TCTCTCTACCTGTCTCTTTATATATGTCTTTATTAATTCCTCTTTCTCTCTCTCTCTCTCTCTCTCTCTCTCTCTCTCTCTCTATATATATATATATATATATATATATATATATATATATATATATATATATATATATACACTCACACACACACACACGCACACTACACTTCCTCGTTATAACACAACAGATGTACAACTACAAGAATTTTACCATCTTTCCCACCTACGATTTCCGACCGCAGGTATCAAGACCGCGGGTTGGGAGTCGATTTTCCCCGCGGGTCTAAATCTCTTAGCGAATGGCCGAGGCGACATGCCATAAAATAACCTCTCGCCATCTAGTGTCTCGGAAACCATATGTCCGGTCTTTTTTTTTTTTAATATACAATTCTGTTTTTTTCCCTCACTTTCCTCGTTTTTATACCGTCTTGACCTCCGGTGGCGAATTTATCTTACGTCTTGAAGGGGTCAGTTGCGGTCAGGGGGAAGGAGGAAGGAGGGAAGAGAAAAACGAGGTGTAAGGCGGGTCTAATCGAATGAAGCCAACCAGAGAAAGAGAGACACAGAGAGAGAGAGAGAGTTAGTCCGGATGTCAGTTTCTCTCTCTCTTTTTTTTCTCTCTTTCTCTCTCTCTGCCTCTGTATCTGCGTCTGTCTGTCTCTCTCTCTCTCTTTGTTTGTCTCTCTTTCTCTCTCTCTCTCTCTCTCCCTCTCTCTCTCTGTCTGTCGGTCTCTCTTTGTCTGACTGTCTGTCTGTCTATCTCTCTAATATGAAGGAAGGGCGCATGGTCTGAATGCTCCGAGTGCAGATTTATTTGGGCGTTTTGCCTTTGCGCCTCAACGGATCTGGTCCCGCAAAATGGCGACTATTTCCTCATTCCGGTTCCTTTCCTGCTACTACTGGTGATGATAAAAATCGCTCTTCTTTTGGAATCTAACAAACCCGAACTATTCCTAACTCTCGACGAGTACTATCATCAAGCCGAATTTACGAGTCTTTTGAAATCACCCAGCTTCATCATAAAAAAAAAAAAAATCATACGACCGAAACCCACGATACTGGTGTGAAGTCTACCTTCCTGCCTCCGCCATCGCCTCTGCCGCCTCTGCCGCCATCGCCGCTCCGCACGTCTGCCCACGTGACTCACCTCCGATTTATTACGCCGACAGACCGAGAACGGGGGCCATCACCCCCCCTCCCCCCCATATCCACACCATCCCCGCCTCTACCCGTATGGCATGGCAGGCGACTCGCTCCCAAGACCCACATGCAGTACGTACACAATGATGCTTAACGTACTGTATGTGTTTAGTGTTTACTTCCTTCTGAATGTTGGTTCAGGTAGGGTCTCCGATCAGTTTGAGTGTTTCTTTAATGTTTCTCTACTTCGCTCTTGCCTTTCTCGCTGTGTCTAGCATTAAAATCCTTGGGTGTTTTATCTTCTATGACCAGCTGCATGAGAGTAATGGTTGGTCCACGCATTATCTGTTTTGTTCCCCCGCGGAATTCCTGTTACTGTAATGTTGCGTCACAAGGCGGTTATATGCTGCTTTGTTCTATAATGATTGCGATCTTGCAATGCACTTTCATTATTAAATGAAAAGAAAAGTTCTCTTACATGCTTAATCCAGTTATTCTGAGAAACACTAATTGCAGCCGAACATTAACATTAAGACTCCTACAGAAGATCGCATTCTGCCTTAGTCGCAGGTAATAACCAAAGTGAATGTGAGCTGCAGGGGGAAATATCTATAAATATACAACACCAGGAAGAATGATCCAGCAGCTGCACAAACGCTATTTTTCCAGATTTAACCTAGCCGCAAATGCCGCCATTTTCACAGCGCTTCGCCTCGCCACAAAGTCCGGGTTCGTATCAGTACCGATTTTTAGTGAGGAAATTACAGATTCACTTTCCACCTTTGACGACTCACTATATTTAAAAAAAAAAGTTGCTAAGATAAATATTAACGGACCGAGAAGATAAAAGACCATATTTACATGGATGCCAGAACACAGAACGCTCCGGTAAGTGCCAACCGAAGCGTGCTTTGTCCAAGGTCTGTATCAAAATCGTATTGATTTCTCCTGTCCTAACCTACACTAGAAACGGCTGTTATAACGGCGAACGACTGTGTATGTGTTCTGCCAGGTGGGTCGATTGACGAAAAGGTTAAGTGTAATTTTAAGTGTAATTTCGTCACGGGTTTTAACCTTACAAACCGACCACTTGAATAACCGGATCTTTTGGGTCGATTTCTTTTATTCTCTGATTTTATTGGAAGCTTTGTCTCTCCAAGGAGTCACGCACGAGGCATTTGCACGAGCAATGTATCTCTTCAAGTGAGGGGGAGGAGTGGGGAGGGGGCAAGGGGATAGGGGGGGAATGGGGAGGAAAGTGATTTTTCAACCATACCGGTAAGGCTATATAGATAACATTTCCGGGATTGCACAAAGCTGTACTGAACTTTTTGAGAAACATGCCAGGATCACTTACCGATGCAGGCTCGGAGGCGGAGTTGTTGGAGCCCGTGGAGGAGTTCGTGGTGTTGGAGTTGGAGGACGCGTTGGAGGACCAGCTTCTGGAGGAGGTCCTTCCGCTGTTGTTGGCCGAGAAGAAGCTGTCGGAAGAATTGAGGCTGAGGCTGTCCGGGCTGAGAGTCGCTGCCTTTCCCACTTCCATGATTTTGGCTTGGCCTCGAACGCCGGGCAGACGAAGGAGGTTCTTGAGGCTGGACATGTCGCCCTTGAGACACTGCATCCCACTCTTGGGCGTGTCCGTCACGTCGTTGTCCTTGAGGACGGACACGTTCATCATGCTAGAGCTCGTGGTGGGCATCTTGGAGGGCGACGTGTGCTCGGGGGAAGTCGGGGGGCCTTCGCTGCGAACCGAGCGGAAGGAGAGCGTGTCGGGCGCCCGTCGGGAGCTGAACGACAGGCCGCGGCGCACGTTGGCCTGCGATACGCCCGACCACGTGCCCACCTGGTAGCCGACGTCCTTCTCGGCCTGGGCGTACGATGACGGCACGATCAGACTGTCGCAGTCTACGCTTCTCTCGCTGTAGGAGTCTCTGAGGGCCGCGACGCCGCACCGGTCGGAGGGCTCGGTCACGACCGGCACGCGACTGACCTCGGGCGGCCGCGGGACCGTGGCGGAGGTGCTCAGGTGTTGGGCAAGGCTCGAGGTGGACCTCTGGGGGCTTGCGTGCTTCAGCATGGCGTCTCCTGAGAGAGAGAAATCATATGGTTAGCAAAATAGGCTAAGGAAAAATCTACGAGATGTACCTGTCCATACAGCACCAAAAATAATTTGAACGCAGTTGCTGAACTTCCAAGACACTATATCTGTCTGTCCCAGCTATAAAGCTCACTACCAAATCTTCACACACAGCTATAAAAAGGCGCTCTTAACAACCCTCAGGCAGCTTGAACTAACATCTCCCAAATGGTCTGCCCTCGCATAAAAAGTACATCCTCTCCAAACAATCAGAACTCTTTATCGCACTCCTTCGGTCACTCCCAACACGCATGCCCCGGACCCTACGCGATTAAGGGCCAATAGCTATAAAATCTCAATGATAGAGAGGGCGTCATCTCGTGTACTATGAGCCGCCCACACTGACCACTCTAGTCCCTACATAAACACTCTTCCACGCTTCCACTCTTCCACACCACCACCCGGTCGGCTAAAGCACAAAAAAGGGCGGAACGTGTAAACAAAAACACAACTTAAGCTACTTCGCCGTGCACTTCCGCCCGCGACTGAGAGAGGCTTTGTTGTTCTCTTCTCCAGCGGCGCCCACGCGTCCTAGGCAGGGCTATGGGCGTTATGGGGTGGGTGGGGGACTAGGTGCTTCCCTTCTCTTCTTCGTTTTCTTTCCTCTTTTCCCCTCTTTTCACTTTCCCCTTTATATTTATTTATTTGTTCAACTAATCCTGCTTTTCCACCGGATTTTAATATCAATTTTGCTTCTGTTTTCTCATCCTCTCTCTTCCTTTCCTTCTCATTCGTTCCTTTTTCTTCCTCTCTCTTCCTCTATCTCTCTCTCCTATCCATTACCCAGCTTCGCAATTATGTGCTTGGGGGAAGAGATAGATCAACAATTCTCCCTTTGCAAGTAGAACGTGATGGAGCGAGAATGAAATGCATCCGATCTATATTTGGCGCAGAAGATGAGGGTCGCAACTACCCACCTCCTGCAGTCGAGGAACTTCTACTGACGCTGCGAATGCGACTGGGATTAGTTTTTTTCGTTGATTTTGGTGCAATGGGTATCAGTAATATGTAATTTCGTACGCTGATGCAGATGCAGATGCAGACACACAGAGAAAACACACACACAGACATACAGAGAAAACACACACACACACACACACACACACACACACACACACACACACACACACACACACACAAACGTGAAATTTCACACACGTACACAATCCGCTCTAATATCTTGTGGTTTCGACAATCACGTAAAAATGACGAAATCCCTCAATTGATATTATATCATTTCATGTCAACGGCGCCGCATAACACGCCTTAGGGAAACGGGCTTCCGCAATTATGTCGATTAATGACCGAATCTTTCCCAATAAACAACGTGTCTCCTCCTCCACGACGCTATTTGATATAGGCCTAAATTTTATTGGACGGGCGAAATTTTAACCTAATCGTCTCGTGTCGTTTTGTGGGTAAGTGGTCTATGACAAAATGACTTTACCGATTTGAACAATCAACATGTCGAATGAAAATTATAATTATGGTAATGACTAAAAAAAAAATGATAGAGCTGATATTGCCTCATACCTAGAGACAATTCATTCATCTTTTCACAAAATATATATATATATATAAAGTTTGAGAGACAGTCTATCATATTTTTTTCATGTGTATAAGGTTTATGTTTGTGGTTTGCAATCATAAGCTGAAAGGTCTCGTTAAGACAAGATCATTACGGAGGCGGCCGCTGCGTAACCTTCTTTTAATGCTCGCG